CAGAAGCAATCAACTGACTACAGAGGAGCCAAAAACGAATCTTACCTAGCACCTAATTTGGAGGGTGCTACTGGATGATGTTGACCCACCGCAACGATGACCCACCCACCAACGATGCTACCCTTCTGCTATTTCCACTGCAAATGACATTCTGCTGGAATGTAAACAACAGCAGGAACATCACCCAGGATACGCAATGGCAATCCTGGGTGATGGTATTGACCATGTATGATCATGACCATAGTTGGTCAATAAAGTCAACCAGGATCTCCAGCCACTGGGGATCAACATGTCATTTAGTGGTGGTAGTGCTACCACCGCTAAATGATGGACTTCCAGCTCATGTTTGTTTACAAATATGGCCAGTTTCTTTGCCTGTTCACCAAACTGAGAATAAGCTAAATTCAGTTGGAACTCATGTTCAACTCAAACCAGTAGCTTATTCTACTCCTGAATATGGAGGAGCATGTGACATGCTCACAATGTGATTGGTGATTGGCCCAGTACTGTCACAGTAGAGGAAGACAGAGGCCTTCCTCAAGTTCCTCCTGTGTGCTAACCTAATGTTGAAACTCCAAGAATTGCTGGCAGCAAGTCAGAATTGGCCATATTTGCAAGAGGCAATGTGCAGAATTATAGTATGGCTGTCTGCAGTACCTTGTTACCTGCTATATTACATGTCTGTAGATATGCAATGTTGTAAAGACCAGGTGCTGATCTAAGGGGGTTTTGGGGTGGGCTGTGCCCCCCAGATTTTAGTTGTGCCCCCCAGATCCTCTTCCATAAGCCAGTCTGGTACAGACAGTTGATGTAAGGAGGCATTCTGATGGGGACAATTCACGTAAGGGGGTACTATAATGGGGACACCTGATGTAAGGGGGAACTCTGATGGGGATAACTGATCATATGTAAGGGGACAATCTAATAGGGCAGTTGACATAAAGGGGGACTCCATTAGGGACAATGATGTAAGGAGGTGCTCTTATGGACACCTTGATGTAAGGGTGCACTCTGATGGGGACACCTAATGTAAGAGGGCACTCAGATGGGGACACCTTATGTGGGGGCAAAATAAATGTCACCAGTACACCATGGCGCTTCAATAAGAGTCCGAAGCTTTCCTTCACACTCACATAAAAACCTTATGTAAGGGGATGCCCTGATTGGAACCTGATGTAAAGGGGGACTCTAATGAGTAGTCATGATGTAAAGAGGAAAAGAAAGGAGAAAGGCGCCTTTAAGTGTAAACTACAAAAAACCTGATTTATTGCACATGAAAGGCAACAACTTACAAGAGGATAGATTAAAAAGGCACTTCCATATCCATCAATGGGGTTTGAACCACAGTGAACGGCATGGTGTGCAGTCCAGGATGATGATCTGTCATCTGTCAATGCCAAGCATGAACAGCCGGCAAGATGGAAGAGGTCTGGCATCGAGGCTTGGAACGCACCGTGGAGCACAGTGTGTGCACGATGACGTCACTGGGCATCGTGCAACGTGTTTCCTGAGCATGCACTGTGAGATAGTAGTCCTAGTGCGCTCCTTTGTCAAGCTGATGGTATAGAAACGGTTTTGTCTATATAACATGTAGCCAATTAAAGGCGGTTATCATTTAAAAGGGACCTATGACTCTTTAAGACTAAAAATCACTGGTCGAGGGAATTATTGTGGATAAATACAAAAACAAACATCACAGTCCTATAATACATTCTCAAATGCCAGTAAACACATAATAAAAGAACATCAAGATAAAAGCTATAGAAGGGGAATCGTTATTGGGTATGCAGCCATAAAAAAAAGTTATTAAAATTTGATTGGGGTCTTAGTGGTGATAGTTAAAATATTTATTAGGAATTGGGGATCATTAAAAAAACTCAATAATAAAATAAGTGATAACCAAAAAACAAGTTATTAAAATTTGATTGGGGACTTAGTGGTGATAGTTAAAATATTTATTAGGAATTGGGGATCATTAAAAAACTCAATAATAAAATAAGTGATAAACATCAAATGATGGGTATTGATGCGTGATTCACAATAGACTAATATACCAAATATAGTAAACAACTACCATATTGATAATAGGGATAGTGCTAATTTCACAGAAAAAATAAGAATAAATACATGATTCCGTGTTATACTCACTGGTAACAGACGTATAGGGATATGCAGGATTAAGAGACCCCCTGATGTGTACCAGCCTCCCCCAACCACCTTTATGGTGTCAAAAAATAAATATATAATTCCCTATAAAGACCTAGAAACAGGAAAAAAAGGATAAGATTAACGACTAAAATAGCTCTGGATTAAAGACTATGCAAAGACATTCATTTACATGATAGTGGCTATTTCTAGTTCTTCATTTAACCCTTCAGGGGCTGATGTGTCCAGAGTGTATATCCAGAACGTCTCTCTCTGGCACATAGTTTATGAAACCTTTCTGCCTCTGGAAATGATTTGGTGATCTTTTCTATTACCCAAACACGTAGTCCAGTGTTAGATTTTTGGTGGTACTCAGCGAAGTGGCGTGGGACACTATGTTTGTCCTTGCCTTCTTCAATGAGCCTTCTGTGTCCACAACACTCTACCCCTCCCCCTCTGATGAGCATTCAAACCCACCCCTCTATATATATATAGTTCAAAAGTATACCACCATCTCCCATAAACCGCCTCATTCCTCTTCCAAGTTATCCAATTTCCCCAATCCACACCGATTGCAATCAACTAATTCTAATAAATCTAACAGTTCCAATAACTGTTCCAATTCCACATTACTTAGTTAAATCAATTCTACAATAGACCTATCCCCAACACAACTAATAAGGGTCAGACTGAGAATGTTACATCTAACACATCTCGATCCAAGATAAAAAAAAAACCCTTGTACACACCCCATAATGCAGTCAATATTACTAAATCTTTGCCAAGGAATCCATTAAGCAGGGTAACCGACAGCAGTCAGACCCCATCTACACCCATCCAGTTGCACAATAGTAGCCATATCTCATCTACATCCACCTGTCAGACCAATTCTGCCCTCCTTCATAACAGAAATACCATTACTCCTACTCCATCTCATAACCCACATGACTTAGGACTTAGTGCACCTTATCCATGCCCACATTTTTTAGTACCACACCCCACTGCATCGCAAAGACTAAAAAGAAAACACACAAAGGAGAGGATGCAGAGGGGGAATCAAGAGAAAAACCATCAGTTACCAATCCAATACAGAAACTTTGCAAACTATAAAGATCTACAATTTATCCACACACAAATTATCTGTGGAAGAATCATCTCTGCTCAGCCTTAATTTTGCCCCTACATATAGGCCCAATCCATTTCTCCTATTTAAAGATCTTAATAGATATATTCAGAGCTTGACCCTAAAAAGATATTTCCATATCCAACAGGCAAAGGATCTTCCTTCGAATATTGATTCCACACCCTCAGTTGGGTCCCCTTCCCCCATTTTTGATTTTGACACCAACATTCTTGACACTTTAGAATCCTTATACATGGAGAGTGCAGAACTTACCTTATTCACGCAACATCTGGAAACTTCTACCCCTATAACTCATTCATCACTCAAACCCAAATCAGTATTCAAGCCTACGCATGCAAAAGGACCTTATTTGGAGAGTTTTTATAAAGTAGTTTATTCTGATTTACTTAAGCTCTGCCAATCATCCATATATCCTTGCAGTAACCTCTCTAAAGATGAGAAAAAAAGCACTCAAAGAACTCATGTCCGATTCGGATATTATTAAAACTGTGGACAAAGGTGGGGGCATAGTTATTCAAAATAAAACAGACTATATCACAGAAGCCAACAGACTTCTTTCAGACATGGGTACCTATAAAAAAACATTTCCAAAGACCCCACTGAGGCATTCAAAAAGGAGGCTGATCTACTAGTTGAGCGAGCTCTTCAACAAGAAATTATTAACAAGTGTGAAGCCACTTTTTTATCGAGGGCGTTCTACCATACCCCCTATTTCTATCACATTCCAAAAATCCACAAGAACCAATAAACACCCCTAGGAGGACCCATTATAGCAGCGTTGGAAAGTATCACTACGGGTTTTTCCCTATATATAGACCAATTCCTGCAACCCTTAGCACAAGCACTCCAATCGTACATACGTGACGGTACCCATTTATTAGAATTATTGACCCCCTTAGAGTGGCACCCTTAATATTCTTGGGTGTCATTAGATGTTTGCTTATTATATACTTCCATCCCCCATATATTTGGCTTAAACGCACTACAACAATTTTTGTCCTTGGATCCCAATCTCAACCCTAGGCAGGCTACCTTCATTTTCGATGCCACACAATTTTGTCTTACACGCACCTATTTCAATGGAGATTTCTATATCCAGATCCAGGGGACAGCTATGGGGGCAAATTTTGCCCCCTCATATGCCAACTTAGCAATGGTCCATTGGGAAGAAAGTTAAATTTGGCACAACAACCCTTTGGCTGCTAATATTATCTTCTTTGGAAGATATATAGATGATATTATTCTTATTTGGGATGGCCCTTCATCTTCCATAGAGAGATTTGCTGCACATTGCAACAACAATACTTTTAGTCTCTCATTTACATTCGAGCACAACACCCAGACATTACCTTTTCTGGATTTAGAATTAAGCCATCATGAAGGAAAAATTGTTGCCAAGAATCATTTTAAGCCCACTGCAGGCAACTCATATCTTCATTACAAAAGTTACCATCTACCTAACTGGATCAAAAATATTCCCAAGGGAAAATTTTGCAGATTACAGCAAAACTGTACCTGTAACAAAGATTACATCTCACAAAGTCTGATCCTCAAACAAAAATTCATAGATAAAGGATATACATCAGAACTAGTCAAACAAGCTTTCAATTTCTAACTTAGAGAGACATTGGTCAAAAATCACACACACGAGAAATAGATCACTCTACTACATTTATCACTACTTACCACAACCCAGGGGCGGACTTACAACTCATGGGCCCCCCGGGCAATAGGGGATAATGGGGCCCCTGTGTCCTTGCCCAAACTCAAAAAAGCCTATGAAAAAGGTACCAGGGGCATCTCATGGGGCCCCCTACTGACCCTGGGCCCTAGGACGCTGCCCGAGTTTCCAAATGGTCAGTCTGCCCCTGCCACAACCAGTATAAAAGTGTGGAGAAAATATTAGCAAAACATTGGACCATTCTCCAAGCAGATCCACATCTAAAAACCACAAGTTATATATAAAAAAGACCATACTCTCAAGAATAAGATAGCCCCAAGCAAATTACTGAGTAATCTCACTCACAGCACACCCACCTGTTTTTTTCAGCTGGTGGGGATGTATCAATGCCAGAAGCTTTTATGTAAAACCTGTAGCTTCATCACACATGGACAAAAGCAGTTCACTGCTAAAGGCAAAACGTTTACATTTCCCACATTTCACAATTGCTCCTCAGATTATGTGATCTATTGCCTGACCTGTCCTTGTGAAAAACTCTATGTCGGATGCACAATAAGGCCACTCAGGAAAAGATTTGGAGAACACAGAAGGCTCATTGAAGAAGGCAAAGACAAACATAGTGTCCCACAGCACTTCACTGAGTACCACCAAAAATCTAACACTGGACTACGTGTTTGGGCAATAGAACAGATCACCAAATCATTTCCAGAGGCGGAAAGGTTTCATAAACTATGTGCCAGAGAGACGTTCTGGATATACACTCTGGACACATCAGCCCCTGAAGGGTTAAAGGAAGAACTAGAAATAGCCACTATCATGTAAATTAATGTCTTTGCGTATTGTTTATTCCAGAGCTATTTGTAGACGTTAATCTTCCACCTTTTTTTCCCCATTTCTAGGTCTTTCTACGGAATTTTATATTTATTTTTTGACACCATAAAGGTGATTGGAGGAGGCTGATACACATCAGGGGTTCTCCTGATCCTGCATATCCCTATACATCTGTTACCAGTGAGTATAACACGGAATCATGTATTTATTCTTATTTTTCCTGTGAAATTAGCAATATCCATATTATCAATATGGTAGTTGTTTACTGTATTTGGTATATTAGTCTATTGTGAATCACGCATCAATACCCATCATTTGATGTTTATCACTTATTTTGTTATTGAGTTTTTAATGATCCCCAATTCCTAATAAATATTTTAACTATCACCACTAAGCCCCCAATCAAATTTTAATATCTTGTTTTTATGGCTGCATACCCAATAACAGTTCCCCTTCTATAGCGTTTATCTTGATGTTCTTTTATTATGTGTTTTAGTCTTAAAGAGTCATATGTCTCTTTAAATGATAACCGACTTAATTGGTTACATGTTATATAGACAAAACAGTTCCTATACCATCAGCTTGACAAAGGAGCGCGCTAGGACTGCTAACTCACAGTGCATGCTCAGAAAACACGTCACACGATGCTCGGTGACGTCATTGCGCACATGCTGCGCTCCACAGTGCATTCCAAGCCTCAGTGCCAGACCTTTTCCATCTTGCCAGCCGCTCATGCCTGACACTGACAGATGACAGATCATCATCCTGGACTGCACACCATGCCGTTCACTGTGGCTCAAACCCCATTGATGGATGTGGAAGTGCCTTTTTAATCTATCCTCCTGTAATTTGCTGTCTTTCATGTGCAATAAATCAAGGTTTTTACAGTTTACACTTAGAGGCGCCTTTCTCCTTTCTTTTCTTACATGTATCCTTCTGGACTCAAGCTTCAATCCAGCAAAAGGCTGCCATAAGTGAACAGGACTACAAATAGGATTGTTAGCTATACGCTTGTCAGCGGTAGCTAGACAGAACATCTATTTATTATTTATTTCTCTATAACCCGATTGGGTCCCATTTGTTTGGCATTCATTTCAGTGTTTTTCCCTGCATATTGATGTTTCTTGTTACTCCTATTTGTGTTTTACCCCACCTCTAGATCATACATAGGTTGCGCTCTCCTTCCCTTTTGTTTTTCTCATGATGAAAAGAGGGACTCTGATGAGGACTGCTGATGTAAAAGGGGACTCTACTAGGCACATCTGATATAAGAGGGCACAGATTCTGTTTAATCACCCTAATCTAATGACAACCAAACACCTAATAATGTTTCCAGAATGTGACACTGTGTGACAGACTGTCAGTTACTCACACACAGTGTTGACATTATGCCCCCTGACTTTTTTTATTGCACCCCCAGATCAGATAGGCTAGATCTGGCCCTGGTAATGACACATTACTAGGGTAATATATTAGAATTATGTAACAGGTGTAACAGGTATGATTCAATTTTGCAAGAGTCAGTGATTTCACTTCACTAGAGTGTCACAATAGTATCTTATGTATCATATAGCAAAAGCTACCCCGCAAGATTGATAATTATTGGGGTAGCTGAACAGCAGCCTCTATTTAAAAAAATACCCTTTGACCAACTTCAGCAAGATACAGTGCTGATCTCCTATTCCCTATGGCTGATGATATTAAGAATTTAAGACTAGGTGCCCTGTACAGAATGGTGCCCTACATCGTCTAGAAATAGCTAAGTTGTCTAAGTATAATTTATACACCAGGATCATCTCCCCAAGTCATCCAGTTCTTGGTATGGAGTTGCCCTTTAACTGCTGTTTGTGATACTAACTAAAGGCTGCTTTGTCAATACAACCCTGGGAGCTGCATGCTTGATTATGTTGTTATTGTACAGGTATTCTGACAAATGACCAGATTGCATTTTGGCCAGCCTGAAGCTAGAAGCAAATAATATATTTTTAGTTTTGGTCAGAGCTATGTCAGCTTCACTGCTCTGGCTAGAGGAATTTGGCTATAGAGACCAATCCATCTTACTTATTAGCTCAAGTAATCAAAACGTGCCTTCATGTAGAGAATTAGGTGGAAACTGTCCTTACTTCCCCCCTCCAGCCATACATATTCTCAATGTAGATCAATACACAGAGCTGGCAAGTTAACCCTGTTCTGAAACAAGACTGACCGTAAGTAGTAATGTCTATGCTTGCCCTGCAAAACTGAAAAAGAATCTAAGATAACTGTTATAGTCCCTCTTCCCTAAATATATGTAAGTTGTGCACTTAATATTACAATTTCTGCAAACTCACAGTACAAACTCTATTACAAATATTTTACCCAATTTGGTTATATAATCTATTTTATATGGTTGAATATCCATGGTTTGCTGGATTATTTTTACATTGTTTTAAAAGAACATTCTGTCCAGAACTGATATTTCAGTGTTTGATGGATCATGAAAATTGAAACCATCTAACAGTTTCTGATATCTCTCATACTTTCCAAAGGTGAGATCTCCGTGCTTGAGTTCCTGGGTCTTCATGCTTGCTGTGGCGATTAAGAGGGGGTTCCACTCTACCTGCTGGGTTTTTATTTTCTTTTACAAGAACATTATACAGAGCAGAAACACCTTAATATGGCTGGAAACATCCCAGACTTAGAGGTGGACAGAAATAGAGTCATGGATTGCCACTAGCAACCCAAGGAGATATGAAAATCCTTTGGATGGCTCAGCCCATCAGATTATGAAATTAAATAAATATATCATTTACACAACAGGAAAATATAGAATAGGTGTTCTTAGCTATTTCAGTTCTGAAAGAAGATGGAGAATTGGGCAATTTTCCATGGTAATGTATGTGCCCAATAATGGTCAAATCTTGATTCTGGCCAGCCTAATTGCATATCCCTAATTGTTTGAAAGATGTTTGATTAGGGGATAATAAACTTGCATGGGATGAGGGGTGTATGGCATGCCCAATGGAACTGGAACTGAGGACAAACTTTCTGAAACTATTTACAAGTCTGAACAGCAAAAAATCCTCTTCTGGAGAGCTAGCCAGCCTCTACTGATGTACTACCTCAGGCCCCAGATTCTCCTTAATCCAGCAACTCTGGGTGAATCCCTTGGCAGGGACAGTGCCTGTCCCTTTAAATAATGAAACAGTCCTGGGTAGCAGCTAATCCAGTTTCCCACCACAGTGCTCCTTCTCCTATGTGGCCCAGGGGGTGCAGGTCTACTCACTTGGTCCCTCTCCTGTGTTGCTGGTGGCTGCTACCAGGCCTTCTAGCTGGGCCGCTCCTTCTCTGTCACACAGGTGGTCTTCTCTCAGGGGGCCGATGAAGTCCCAAGCTTCCCTTCTTCCAAGGTCCTGCAGGAGAGACCCTCTCTATCTGGCTCCCCTCACAGGCTCCTGCCTCTCTTCCTCTCTCACATCTTCCACTCTCTCCTTCCAAATACCACTCTCCTCCTGCTAAGCAGGCTCATTTACTCTTAAAGGTTGTCCTGGCCCCTTGCCAAGCCTCCTGTTGGGCATCATCTAGGATCCTCTAAGAGTACAACCTAGCCACTCCTCAAATCCACCCACTGTTTCTAGATCTTTCTCCAAAGTTCTAGAGTAGGGGGGAAATTCCAGAAGGCTAGTCGGCAGATCATCTCAGCTCTGACCAAATTTTGACCCCTGCTAGCTATCAAACCAAGGCTGCTACTCAGTCCTAGCTAACAATTGGAGTCTAGCTCCCCCTAGCTAACTAGGAGGGTGCTACATGTAGATAGATAAATATAGGGGACCTCAAATGCATTGATGCAAGACAAGAACATCCAGGCATTTGACTACTTTACATGATGGTTTGTAGCAAGGCATTTTATTTTACCCAATAATGACCCTGTCAAGTTATAAGAAAATAAACATTTCCTTCAATACTAGAGCTCCTATAATCATACTCTGATGGTTGTGTCCTGTTACCCCACTTCCTTTCAGTGCTGCAGCCTATCTCAATATCTTTAGCATTCAGGTCTGTACAATGCCTGTCTCCCCGCCATGATCCCTTATGTCACTACAGAACACAGCAGTAAAGGATGGAACCATGGCAAGCAGTGTTGGGACACATAGATCCAATACTCCTGGAAGGGCTGAATGCTGAACAAACTGATGGGAGCTGCGGTCCTGAAAACGAACAAAGACTGTATGATAGGTGAGTATAAGAGCTCCTCTGTTGCACCTTTCTTTGGACTTTTTCCCCCCCTAACAGGGT